TTTTGGCTTGCCATTTGAAGGAAGTGTTCTGTCCATCATCTGTAGTAGGAAAGAATGATGGCAGGAGTGAGAGACTGCCTGTTCACATCACAGCAGACCAGGAGTTAGGGTTGGCCTATAAACCCAAGGCCTGCTGCCAGTGACCCACTTCACCAGCTAGGAACCATCTCCTAAAAGTTCCACAAGCACTCAAAATAGTGTCACCAGCAGGGACTCCCATGTTCAAACACAAGAACCTTTGGGTACACTTCTATCCTCATCCTAACAGGGCAACCCAATTACTCATGCACTCCCCAAATACTTTGTAACTCCTCTGCTTCAAAACACAATTTAAACACTTGAGGGCAGGGCATACATCCCCCACACCTGCACACCCACTCAGCAGCCATCATCACTGAATTAAACTCACTGCAGATATTTCTTTGTGAACTCTGGGACGACTTCCTACCTGTTCTTCACATGTTATAGAATAGAACAGAACCAAAACCCAAACTCAATGGAAAAGCCCTACTAGGAATGAAGGCATCTAAAAACACAAAGGTTTAGAGTGAACTGAAGATAGACAATGAGTAATTTATCCAGAGAGAGATTCTGTATGTGTCACATCTAGAAATTTTACTGATAAGGTAAGGGTGTGTGCGTACATCCACTTAGTGTAACAGCACCAAGCATGGTGAGAACGGATCTTCACAGCACTGACAAGCTTTCGCTCTGTCCCAAGGCCTGCATACAGTTGAGTGCTGATGAGGAATGTACTGTGTATGTTTATCTTATTGATTGTTAAATAAAATACTGTTTGGCCAATGAGACAGCAAGTTAGATGGGACTAGGAGTCAAAGAGGATTCTGGGAAATATAGTACAGAAGTGGTGATCCAGGCAGGAAGTGACATAGCAAGGAGACTCATATTTAAAGAAGGAGAAACAGGAAGTGTCTCTCTTTCCCTTTCGCAGGATGTGAGCCACCGTCAAGGAAGGACGCAAATAAGGCGCCCGATAAGATAAGTCTTATACATAGATTTATGATAATTAAGACTGAGCTAACAGATGAGAAGTCCTAGTCATTGGCCAAGCAGCTTTGAACCTAATGCAAGTTTCTGTGTATTCATTTGGGCCCTAACTCAGGCAGGCGGCTGGCGTAAAGCTCACATGTGGCGGTGGAGCTCAGGCGGCTTTTGGCAGAAAGATTTATCGTAACAGAGTGCCCTTCAAGAGCAGTGTTCAACCCTCCATGTAGGGTACAGAGGTGAAGAGAACAATGTCCCGAGATGCCTGGAACCTGTGACACCTGCTGGACACAGTACAGCCTGTGGCACCTACTGGACACAGTGTGGCCTGTGATATCTGTTGGACAGTGTGGCCTGTGACACCTGCTGGACACACAGTGAAGCCCTGTCTGACTCCTGGACCATGGGCCTCAGCAAAGACCTCCTGGAGGAGCATGACATGGTCGAGCTGCTCAGATCCCAAACATCAGTGTCTTCCCTCTCCTGTGCTGCCCATGCCTCAATTGCAGCACTCAAATTGGACTCTGGTTTCTTCCACCACAGTTCAGTGTGGTTGACACCGTCACTTCTACTGCACTGCACACATCCACCTCTCCTTCTGCCTTCCTTCTCCCCCACAGCTTGCTCAACGGATGCTGAGTATCTCTCAGATGCTTCTGGAACTCCTCCCATCACTGGCATCCCATAGCCAGAGGCCCTTGAACAGGAATACCTTGCAGGACTGAACTGGTTTTCATGCCTCAGGCTTCTTTCTAGCTATCATCTACTACACCTGTCCCTACTCTATGCCTTAGAAATAGACCAGATTGTCTTCCTCTATTCACAGTCTTCCCTGCCTCCAGGATAAGGTCCAGCAATCTTGCCTTACCTATCTCTCCAGCTTTTGTCCCTACACAGACTGTGGCAATCCTGCTCTAGAACTCCCTACTATCTACTCCCAATGCTCCCAAGCCTCCAGCCCTCTGTTCAGACTGTTCTGGCTACACTCCCTGCCCCGCCCTGGAATGCGGCTCTGTGTAGGGCCCAGCAAGCTGCAAAGCCTGTCTTAGCTCCTGATGCATGTGAAGCCCAGGCATTCTTGGACATGTTATATTACTATTTGGAAATGTTCAGTCCCAAGTAAATGCTTTGATTCCCTTGGTTCCGTCTAGCATACTCCCTAGAACACAGGAGGTATTTGATAAAAATAATGTGGATGACTGGAGCCTGTGAAAGGAAACCCCAGTCTCAGAAGAAGCAGAGAGCAGGGCGTAAGGGAAGAGCTGAAGACCTGGGGGCTGGGAAATGGAATCAAGACAGTACAAAGATCTGAGTTCAGATCCCCAGAACTCACGTTCAAGCTGAGCTTGCCTGTAATTCCAGCACTTGGTAGGGGGGAGGGAGGCAGGCAGATTCCCTAGAGTTCATTGGTCAGGCAGCCTGGCCAACTGGTGAGGCTAAAGACCCAATGAGAGACTCTGGCTCAAAAAATCAGGTGGAGAGTGAGCGAGGAAGACACCTGACATTAATCTCTGGCCTCCATGTACACACACACACACACACACACACACACACACACACACACACACACCTTTCCCACACACATACCTGTGTACACATACACATATGCACACACATGTACATACACATATTCACACATATGTACACCCCTGTACACAGACATACACGCACACACCTCTATACACCTATACCAGTACACATACACACACACATATACACCCTCCCCCTTCACACCCATGCGCACACATATCCACACCCACTCACATACACACACACACATATGTATACCCCGTACACAGATACACATGTATCTGTACACATTCATACATCCACACCCATACACACCAGTACGCACACTCACACACACTCACACATGCAAACCAAACACATTCTCTCTCTCTCTCTCTCTCTCTCTCTCTCTCTCTCTCTCTCTCTCTCTCAGGAACATGCATTACGCCCCCTCAATGCCCACAGATTTGAAGAACTGAACTCAAATGCTTCTACACCTGCTTTTCCTGGCTGTTGGCTTCTCTGGCCACTCTAGTTACCACCACTTTCCACACACCTCCACTCATTCGAGCCAGGTCACCCAAGAGCAGTCTGGAGAGAGGCCCGCCACTATCTGGGATTGTCTTCTGTCAGTGGTTGTCTATCACTAGCAGGTACATCAAATGTAGTCAGTATGACGAGCAGCTGCAGCAGAGCAGGATGGGAAATATTCATTCAAAAGCGGAAGATTCTAGAGAAGCAGAATGAATTCCAAATTTCTTTTTAAATTTTGATTAATGTGGACTTACACAAAAGTCACTCTTCCCATAAAAGGGAGATGACCTGATCGTGGAAGGCACAAATGTGCATGTGTCTGTAATTCTGGGACTAGCAACTAAAAAGTCAAGAAGCCAAATATAAACTGTGGCTGAAACAAAAGCTAATCTATGATTTTAACTGCTCAAATCAGTACTGAAAGTACCTCGGGGAAAGGAGGCACTATGGTATTTTAGAGTAACTGCAGATTAACCACAAATTCAGCCCAAATCTAGTCGAGGGCTGTTCCATGCCATACAAGTACTGCATATTAACTAATTGCGCTTCTAGAGCTCCTACTGTATTTCAAAGTACAATGAAGAAAAGTTCCAAGGAATGGCTGGCACAGACATGCTGCAGAGATTGGAAGATTACAAGTTTGAGGACAGCCCAATCTACATAGCAAGACCTGTTGCAAACAAAAACGAAAAGGAAGAAAAGAGAAGAAACAAAAAGACAAAGCAAGCTAGCTATGGGGGAGATACGAAACAGAAAAAGCAGAGGTCACCCACATCATCGGTTTCTCATAAACATAAGACAAAGCACTTAAACTGTAAGGCCCAGTGAAAGAGGAAAAAGAAGTGCATTAAAGGGAACTAACACAAGAACAGAGTAAGAACGCCCTTACTCCCTTCCCAGGACCCCCATCTTTTCCATCCCCCACACACTGTTAACTGGCAAAATAAGAGGAAGTGGGAATCAAGCAAGCTTAACCTAGGGCAAAATCTCACAAATTCAAGAAGCAGATCCCTCCGGGCGGTGGTGGCGCACGCCTTTAATCCCAGCACTTGGGAGACAGAGGCAGGCGGATCTCTGTGAGGTCGAGGCCAGCCCGGTCTCCCGCGTGAGGGGCCGGGGAGGCTCCAAAGATACACCGAGAAAACCCATCTTAAGAAGAAGAAGAAGAAGAAGAAGAAGAAGAAGAAGAAGAAGAAGAAGAAGAAGAAGAAGAAGAAGAAGAAGAAGAAGAAGAAGAAGATCCCTACAGTTCCAGAGGCAAGGACTCTATTCCCTCTCCTCTAAGAGAGAGATGCCCGAGTTTACCACCTGGAAAAAGTGACAATAGCATGACATAAGGAAGGTCAACTAGAAAACATATGGATTGTGTCCTGGATCTACGTATGTTCAGGAAAAGGCTGGTTGGGGCTGAAGGGTAAGAAATACACACACATCCTAAATATGTCAATGCCTGCATTTGCTCTTAATGAATCAGTTTCATATTATCAAACATTATCAGTGTCTGAAGTGTAATCCCTTTATGAATGAAGCTTTCATAAATATGATCATTAGAGTTCTTACTACTTTTATGACCTTCCCCAACACACACACACGCACGCACGCACGCACGCACGCACTGTTAAAAATAATGATAAATTATAAAAGCAGTAATTTCAGAGCTGGGTTTGGAGGTGCAAATCTGTCATACTAGCACTTGAGAGGCTGAGGCAGGAGGATTGCTACAATTTCAAAACCAATCTGGCCATAGACTAAAAACTAGTCTCAAAAAAGAGTAAGGAATCAGGACCTTCTGCACAGATTTATCTTTCTGACAGCGGACTGTGACAAGGCAGAGTTTATCTTTGCCTTGTAACTCTTGGCTATACTTTGAACAAAATGCAAATTGGGTCATGAGAGAAGGGCCATACTTGGAATGAGGTGAGCCACACCGGTGGCCCTTTTTCTGTTCTTACCAGTTTTATTTTAGAAGAAAGAGTCTCTGGCAGTTTTGTCTTCAGCTGACTTGTCTCCTTGAATGTCGGTGGGAATCCACTCAGGAAGGCCAAGTCTTGCATCAGCACTAAGCCAGGGACTTCTTTGTCTGTTGTCTGAAATAAAAGGAAAAGACTCAGCTCGCCTTCTGTGTCTTGAAGCTGGTGAAAAACGGAGAAGCTGGTGTGTTTCCACTGTGCTCTCTGGGTTTCACAGTAAATATGGCCATATCAGGACACTCACTGTCACCAGGAAGCTACTGTCAGAGAAAAGGCTCTTAAGGAGCAAAGGATGGTGGCACAGGACTGCAATCCCAGCCATTTCCAAGGGGCAGGCAGAAAGATTGCAAGTTCAAGGCCAGATGGGACTACACAGCACGACCTAAGGAAAACACCTTTATTGTTCATCCTTTTATTCTAGCCTAATGGAAAAGTACAATTAAAATGGCATACCAAGTAGGCTCTCCAAACTGTCTGTTTGCTGCTTCCCTTAAATAGTCCAGCATGGGCATCTTCAACTATAAGAAACAAGCACACGGTTAACAAATACTTATCTAACTCTCTGGCATAACACTATACAGAGCATGGGAGCATTAAAATAGCATAATACATGGCTTCAAAAACAGCAGAGCCAATAAAATTAGCACATTCAACAAAGAAAACACACCTTAAAGCAGTGTATAACTGATCATTAAATCCTGCATTGCCAAGAGATTTATGCAGGCAGCAGAAACATGGAGTGCTTCGTGGAAATAAACTTAAGCTGGGATGAAAGGAAAAGATAATGGGATGATAGGAAACTCACATATGTAACAGTACACCTGGATGAAATAAACAAACAAACATTGTCTACGTTAAAACCTCTGGGAATGTCATGACTAGCAAGTAGGAGCAGCCAGACAAGAAAGGGAGCGATAAAAGCAAGCAGCTGCCTTACAGCCACTATTGCCTTAAGAGGCAACTTTCTCAGAGTTGGGGGTGGTAAGCACACACTGCAAGAGAAGTATGAAGCAAAGGGGACAAGTGACACTGTAACCATCCTGCAGACATCCAGAATGGAGGAGAACAGGAAACTCTCAGGATGCAGGTGTTGTACAGTATTATTTTAAGCTGTGTTACTTTTGTTTATGTTCTGGAACATTTGTTTAGTGATGCAAAGATGTGTTTGATCAAATAAAAATTCACCTGTGGCCAGGAGGCTGGGTCAGTAACTAGCTGACAGGAAGTGGTAGGGAGGAGCTGGGGGAGAAGAGTTTATAAGGAAAGGCAAGGAGGGCTCCTGGGGACACCATCGAGGAGAGCTACTTGCTATTTAGCCTCTCAGAACTCAGAATTCCACCTCAACCTGGAATCTTGAATTGTTTGGAGGGGCAGAGATTTAGATAAGTTCCCTTTGTAGCTGTCAAAAGAATCAGTGCCTGATTCCCTCAGGCTGTGGCTCTTGCAGCCTAACTGCTGGGCAGGAGTTGCAGTTGCTGAATAGGACAGCCCTGGAGTAGTGCAAGGCAGAAACAATGTAAAAAGAGGACAACATATGGTTCCAATTCAGAACTTCCTCCAGAGGGACAAATGAGGCAGGTCCTACAAATTACAGTCTGGGGAGATGGACAGCAATCCTGGGTGAGAGTGTCAAGCCCATACCAATGGGGCTGAGGCTGTAGCTGTAGCTGTAGCTGAGTAGGACAGCACCTGCTTAGGGTGCACAAGGCCTTGGGAAGGCTGCAGTAAAGGAAGTCTTGAAACAATCTAAAAAAAAAGACAGGAATGGTAGTTCACTCTTACAATCTCAACACTCACGAGGTTGATGCAAGAGGACAGTCATGAGTTCAAGCCTAGCTTGTGCACAGTGAATGCCTGGCCAGCCAGGGCCATACATAGTATCCTGTTTCAAAATACCAGGACCACCAGCAATAACAAGCCTACCCCTATAAGCAGCAGCATGGACATTAGGAGTGACTGTGTCTTCCAAGTGCATTTATTTATCAGGTAACTCTGTCTCCATAGATAGAGGGCGATATGTTGGTAAACTGGAGAATTCTAACAGGTCTGATATGCGATATAACATGCATGTAATCAAAGTCTTTGTGACATTCTCACGCCACATTCATGTTTATGAGAAAAAGAGACTGAATATTCAGTAGGGGAGATTATGACCTAACCCATTCTGACCGAAGGGTGTGAATTACACAGCCAGCGCCAACCCGAAGAGAGCTTGAGAGGTTTGCCACAGCCCTTGGCTCCATCATGAACTCCACACCACAGTTTTAAAAGAAACAGGAAGCATATTTATGAAATGTGTGAAACATGTAGACAAAGCTGACGGTGATGTGGTATCCTAGTTAACAGGCTAAGAATTTTCCAAGCTTTTGGCCACTTAGAGCAATGCATCAGATGCAGCAAAATACCATCTTCTACAAACAGGTAAAATCTGTATCTAGGCACTACAAGCCAATTCTACAACCATCACAAGAGAACCAAGAAACCAAGGTGGGCTGGCCTCCAAAATGGGCAAAATCCAAATACTTCTCCCTTTCCACACGCTTCTGCTCTGAGCCACATTCAGTCTTGCCTGGATTGTAGCTCACTCTCACTACACACACAAACGAGTCAGACAGTCTGTCACTCCAATGATTTTCCCCACCGCACTATGGGTTAAAGATTCTGGGTTCAATGTGGCTGCCATGACCTCCTCCCTCCCAATTCTCTAGTCTATCTTTGCCTACTTTCTCTCACTCACTCTGGCCTCCTACCCCTGAGGCAGGCCTTTGCACTAGCAGTCCTAACTCCCCGATAGCTCTTTCTTCACTCATGCTGCTGGTACCCTGGTCTTCTTCACATCACATTAAGAAAATCCCCACCACTCAATTTAGAATGTTCATCCCATTCCTGACTGCCATTTCCTTTTCCATACCTCCATTCAATTTTCTTCTATAGCATTCTTTTCTACAAAGTATATGATTTATTTATTTGTTAATTATTTGCCAATTCAGGGCACAGGGTATAGCCACCTATTCATTTTCTGTTCCTCTATCACTGAGGGCAGTACATGGCATGCCGTTAAGTAGATAGGCCTGCTTTCCCTGTAGAGCGAGCCATGGGAAATACAAAGGTCATGTCCAGCTGACACATTTTAATTTATTTTTTTTAATGCTGAGGATCATATACAGGGTGCATGTTAGACAAGGACTCTACCCCCAAGCTATATCCATAGCCCAGTGGACATACTGTAAAAATGTCCTAGGAACAACAACCTAGAACAAAGAGCTCAAGAATGAAAGGACACTCATGGGGAAGAGATTCCACGCCTGCTCTGTACCCACTGGAAACACATTACACCGGTGTATAAAACCACAACAAAGCCATTTGCAGTTTTCTCTAAAGGCCAGTTTAGTTGGGCCATAATGTGAACTGCCCTACAAAGGTATCGTTTCTTGTAAATCAAAGGGTGTAAGTGTGACTGGAAAAGCCACTTTGCTTTGGAGTCCTGGGACCAAGCGGCAGGGCTGGGCTGGGTGACAGCTAACCACACCTCTCATCCAAAGGGAAGAGACTTGTATTTAGAAAGCTCACAATTTCCTTCGACCTAAAAATAATGTCAATATCAGGAACAGCATGTGGCATTTTTCATAAATATGAACTGGCAAGTGGCAGTTTTGTCTCATTAAGTTACACAGGACATCATAAATTCCTATGCAACTGAAAATAAATTATGAATTATATTACAAATCCCATGGAGCTGGGAAAGCAAAGCCAAAAGCACACTGAATGCTCTGTCCTCCCATGGAAGAGATGGGTGGGGAAGAAGAGGGGTGGCATTAGCCATGGCCCACCAACTACACACTGGCCACTGGCAGTTGAAATATGATGAAAGATAGACAGGGAAGAAAACTAAGGGCACAGCCGAGCAACTTGCAATACCAGGAACAGGAAGGAGCTTACACCCATATGGAAAGCAAATATGAATTACTGAAGTACAGTCTTCTAAGAGGCAGTGAACCAATGAGATCAGGATTTTCAGATTTATTTGCCAGTTCGTGCTAGGTAGAGGACTTTACAGACAGAGTAGCGTGGAGTCTGTTATAGGAGTCTGTGAACCGAATGAATGAGGGAGGAACCTAAGAACTGTTGGCAAAATAAAAGCAAGTGATAGGATGAGGTTAGTTACTAGTTTATGAGGTAAGAAATATGGAAGAGGGCAAAGATGCTGCCAAAAAGTGGGAGGTAGGACGTGGACAAAAGGCACCCTGTATTATGGAAGGAGCTTGACAGCTTTCATAGTAACCAAGTAAAATTCACAGCTTCTCCAGGTAGAGATGCCCAATGCACAAGATGACTGAGAAGATAGACCCAAGCTGGGACACACGCATGGCCCCAGCACAGGGACAAAGCAACTTCATGTCAGGACTAATTCCACAAGCTACTGAGCCACCCATTGTCCTCCAAACAGCAGTTGGGGATGCCTCACAATTCTGGAGGTCACAAGGGTAAGAGCAGAGTCCAGTACAGTTGGTTCTTAGGGGACTCACTTCAAGTGTAGTCAGAGTCATCTTGTCAACTTCCGGGGGGGGGGGGGGGAGTTGGGAGTCTGGGGTATTATAAAAGGATGCTAACTCTCCTCATGAAGGCCTAGCCTTCACACCTTGATCATCTCCTTGGGAGTTTGCATTTCACTGTGTGAAGTAGAAGGAATACAAGCCATTTCTGAATGCTCTGGTATGTCCTGTCCAAACTACAGAACATAATCTCATTGAGTTATATGGTAAAAAATAAAACAACAACAACAACAAACAGCCTGACTTTGAGCAGGAGAAGGAGGTACTTTTGTGTGCCAGGCTGAAGGTCCTCTAGAGTATTCAGAACATGGGCTATGATGTGTCCTCGTGGAGGAATTGCTTTGCAGCCCTTTCCCGAGATGAGATGGTTTACAATGAAATACAATAATGGCTCTTGGGCTTTTCTCAGGACATTTTTTAGTTTATAGGGCAGTTCTTAAAAAAAAAAAAATCACTTGTTGCATTCAGAATTCTGTTATTCTGAATATTAGTGACATCATGGTTTAAATATACACACAGGCAGCTGGGCATGGTAGCACACCTTTGATTTCATCACTCAGGAGGCAGAAGCAGGCAGATCTCTGTGAGTTTGAGGCCAGCCTGGTCTACAGAGTGAGCTCCAGGACAGCCAGGGCTATATAATAGAGACCCTGTTCCCACAATGAAACCTCCAACAATAATAAAATACATGCAGGGGCTGGAGAGATGACTCAGCATTCACGAGCATTTGCTCTACCAGAGGACCAGGGTTCAATTCCTAGGACCCACATGGCAGCTCACAACTCTCTATAGCACCAGTTTCCAGGGATCCAACATGTTCTTCTGGTCTCCAGACATAAGGAATACAGGCATACATGTATAGAAAACACTCATATATTTAAAATAATAAAATAAAATTTAAAAAACATAGGAAAAAATCTTACCATCCTTAGTGCTGTCAAAAACAACAACTGACACATTTGTAGAAGGATTTTTTGGTTTTGCAACATTGAACATGTCACTGGCAGCATGAAAAGACGGATAAAGAGACGGCAGGTCTTTCAGGGTGCTGTTGGCTGGCAAGGGTGGGTCCAGAACAAGCATGGGCACTTTAATGCAGTGTGTCAGCAGACATTCCAGCTGCTTCTCACTGCAGAGACAAACAACATTAGGAAAGCTGTGGCCATTGCTAAAGGGGAGGGGAGTTAAAAACCCTGTAACATATAAAATTGTTGTAGCATAATCAGTAGTTAATCTCAAGAATATTAACATTTTTGTTAATGACTATGGAATAAAAATAACAAGACACATTTTAAAGATACAGTTTTCAAACTTCTATTAATTATAAGAGTACCAGTCAAGTGTGATATCTCTTGAACGAGGGAAGAGGATCAATTATGAATTCTAGCCCATGAAAACATGCTGCGGGGTGTGGATTAATATATATATATATATATATATATATATATATATATATATATATTTGTAAGTCCAATGAAGCACCTTGTTAGCATATTTGGAAAGAAATTTGATCTAACGGTATCATGTTACTGAATACAATTTACCCACCCCAATTAGAACAATATGAACTACATTGGACATTACAGATATAGAAACAGCAGGTGTAGCATGGTTCTAATGTGAACATGTAGGAGACTTTCTATCTGAATAAAAGAAATCCCTTTAAAAGTTACCAGAATAAAAAATAGACACATAACACTGTTAGAAAGCCCACAAGGGGGGAACCACAACTAGTACAATGATGTGTGTAGTAAAACTTTGCAACCATCTTAGTTGATAATCAAAGAAATCAAAAGAAAGCAACAGTTACCCTGTTTGCTCAGTTAGCACCCCTTAAAAATGGTGACTTAGTGTTGATCAAAGCACTGCAGTCTGTCCCTCTCAAACATATCTGGCCTCATAATTCTTTAGGGACACACAATGTGGTACTATATACACACTATATACTTATAACATATAAATACACTTATAATATGCCTGCCCAATATACTGAGAGGTATGAGGCATGAAAATAATGCATCGCTATAGGAATTAAAAAGCAGGACATCTTAGGCCATAAACTATGACAGTTGTGAGTCGAGTGTAGCTGTACACTCCTATGATCCCAGCACTTGAGGAATAGGCAGGAGATCAAGGTTATTCTCAGCTATGCGGTGAGTGTGAAGGCTAGCCTGGGCTATATGAGAGCGTTTTTCAAAAAAAATAAAATAAAAAAATAAAAACAATCTCCACAAACAACCCCTTTAAATCTAAGTGGGAAAGAGGCAGTTACAAGGCTTCTGTTCATCAATGGGAGTTGTTTTAAGGGCTCATTAGAGCTAAGCATGACTGAAACCACTATACCTAGCAAGACAGATGTATCTGGTTCTTGTCATTGGGCTAAATCTCCTTCCTGGTCCTTAAGTATATATAACCTGACAGCTTCCAAAGATAAGGAGAGATTATAATTGGACAAATAAATGATGGGCATAAATTTTATAGTCAAAACACAGGGTATAATTAGTTAGCAGAGGCCAAGAGAACAATGCATCAAGACAGATAAATGAGTACTCTAAGGTTGCCAAAAACAAGCAGGATCTGATTGGCTAGAACAGAAACACCTGAGTGCTCAGTCAGTCATTCGATTTAGCACTGCAAATTCTCTCTGGTGGATGCACTTAATTGGGGTGTCAAAAATAGCAGGGGTGGGGCTAAATACCAGCAGTAGCTTAAATATGAAACAAACAGTATGTGCCCACAATGCTGACCTTGATACTTCAGTTCAGCCCTTCAAGCTTAATCCTGAGAAGAAATCAAACCACTTACCTCTTCTTTGTTGGTTCTGTTGTGTTCTTTCCAAGGATTTCCCTAATAAAAAGCAAACACAGCTTGTTACATATACATCAGCTAGTAATTGCCCCAAATGGGAACAAGGGAGAGTTTACAATGTTGCCTTTCCAACTATGTTGCCAATGGGAAGTGTTACAATGCTTATCCATTGAAAATGTAAGCAAATCATGTACCAATGAAATGCTATCAGTGACCCTTAATCTCCAACTGTAACCAACAAAATACCATCTTGTTGTTTTCCTTACAAAACATGGCATGCAGCTGCCAGTCATTTTAAGCAGTCTTATACCCCACAACAAAGAGAAGCCATTGCAGTATGTGGTGCAAATATCCTGCAACTGGAGTGCACTGGTGGCATTTATAAGGAAGTAAGTGGGGGAATTCTTAGCAAATCTTCCAGATGAGAGAGGGGCAACAGTGAGGCAGCTCTGAGTGAGCACTTTGCCCATTTCTGACTTATACCTACGTGAGCTCACAACCATACCTGGACTTCTTTTTAAATTGATTTACCTCATAGCTTTCTGCTCTTCCTCCATTTGCTCTCGGACCTGCTGTAGTTCCTTCAGCAGTTCAAGGTCTGTGCCATTTACCCAGGTGTAAACCACATCGATTGGCATGGGCAGACAAAGCCTAGGGCAAACCACAAGGTCTCCAGCTTAATCGTAGGTTTTCCAGGGGGAAAATATTATAACAGAACTTCTATTTAAGAATTTAGACTTAAGCCAAGTGGTAGTGGCATTTGGGAGGCAGAGGCAGGTGGATCTTTGAGTTCAAGGCCAGTCTGGTTTACTGAGCAAAGTTCCAGGATAGCCATGGCCAGCCACACAGAGAAACCCAGGCTAGAAAACAAACAAACAAACAAATCCAAACAAACAAACAACAATGATGAGTTTAAATTTAGACATTATCAGAGAAAATCAATGAAAATGCCATAGAATTATGGCATGCACATTCAACAGAACAGTGTGTTTTCCTGGGGCCACTGTCGGGGAAGTGGTGTCTATCAAATACTATCTCTATGAACTGCATTATGTTAGAAACTTCGTGAAATTCCTATTATTTGAACCTCACAAACACCCTGTAAAGAGGTTGATATCTTTCTTTTTTAAAAATTACTCGAGGGACTGTCTAGGTGGCTCAGTGAATTCAAAATGCTTGCTGCACAAACCTAAGACCCAAGTTTGATCCCTGGGAGGTAGAGAAACTAACTCCTTGAGTTATCCCCTGACCTTCACACATGCTCCATGGCATGCCACCCCTACCATCATACACACACACAACAACAACAATAGTAATAATAAATGAAAGATTAATGGAGGAGAATCAAGAGATAGAGGCCTTAGAGTTCCAGTGGAGCATAGAGTGCCTGATCATTGGGCACGGGGTTTCTGTCTGGGTGATGAAAGTTCTAGATGGTGATGACAGTTACTCGACATCGTGAATGCATTTGGTGCTACTCTCAACCATACACTTTAAAAATGGTTAATATACTAATTTCTGTGCTATGGTACATTTTGCTACAAGAAAATGTCAAGCAGTGAGAATAAAGATTATCCAGGAGTAGAGAGCGTAGTCTTAGGATTCCATTTAGATTAGATAATGTATCACTCTCATATTCCACAAATGGGGGATCAGAAGAATCAAGTGTGGCCCAATCTAGAGCAGTAACCAGAAGCTTAAAGAGCAAAGCACAGTGAGTGATGTTGTCAGAGTCCAGAGGAAGACCTGGCCCTAGCACCGCCTCTGCCTTCTGTCTCAGGACTCAAGTCCAGTACTCATCTTTCCTTTGGTCCACAGCCCTTGACATCTTTCTAACATAGTAAATGACTAACCTGCTGCCTCTCCTATGAGTTACAATGTCCTGCCTATGAAGGAATCCTCCAAGAAGCCAGGAGGCCTCTTCAATGTGCTTCCCAAAGCATCTGAGGTAATGTAGCACTTGGCGCAGAGGAGCCCGTCTGGGAGAAAAGCCGACGGTGTAAATGAGGCATGAAGACGTGCTGTGTTTTTCCCCAACCTGGTCTTGTGTTTTAATCATCCTCAAAAGAAGTCGAGCCCAGCCTTGCCTTAGTGTTTCTGTTCAGGTTTTAGCCTACCAAAAGAATGTTCTATATATCTTACTTTCACTGCATCTCATGTCTCTCTGTATGGAGGCTGCCTAGCTTCTTGCCCTGGGCATTCCCTGTTCTCTCCTTTTCTTGAACCTAGATTTCTCTTCCTTTTTATTCTCTCTGCATGCCAGTTGTGCCTATCCTTTCTCCTCCCTCGCTTTTGGTCATTTAGCTCCTTATTAGACCGATCAGGTGCTTTAGGCAGGCAAGGTGAAACAACACATCTTTATGTAATTAGCAAATGTAGCACAAACAAAATTAATATTTTGCAGCATAAACAAATGTAACACATCTTTGCCTAGTTAAAATCTCTGTGTTACCTTGGCTGTTCTGGAACTCACTCTGTAGACCCGGCCTTGAACTCACAGAGATCCACCTGCCTCTGCCTTCTGAGTCCTGGGACTAAAGGTGTGCACCACCACTGCCCACTTTGAAGGGATTCTTAGTACACTGTGCTATCAACAACTGTTTACTTAGGCATGTGTATCTTTCATGAGATAGATGGCACCTGGGGCAGAAGCAGAACTATGAATCTTGTGCTCTGCTTCATTAGTCATTTATTTTCTCTCCTCCATTTCCAGGCTCTCTCCCCACTACAACAATATTCAAAAGCTTCCCCTCTATGTTTTCCCTGCACATGTCTTTCAATGGTTCTCAAACAGTAGCTGGCAGCTACATGGAAGACTTTTAAATGGAGTTTCTAAATGCACGGATCTGAAGTGGAACCTCAGAAGGCTCTTTGCTAAGATGTTCTCAGCTAATGCCGACACCGCCAATCTGGAGGCTACACTTTGAGAACGGCTGGCTTCAACAGCTGTACTTCATCTTCCCCCATTGTAATTTTTTAAAAGTGGCTGGAGAGAAAGATGCTATGTGGCAGAGTTCAAGTGGAGGGGTTTTTTTATTAGGGAAAGGGACCATAAAAAGGGGTAAGGGGAGGGGGTAGACAGGCCTCCAGGACAGGAGCAGTGGGAAAGAGGAAAGAGAGGCAGAGAAAGAGAAAGGAAGGAAGGAAGGAAGGGAGGAAGGAAGGAAGGAAGGAAGGAAGGAAGGAAGGAAGGAAGGAAGAAGCTGGGTGGTTTTTGTGGCATGGGAGGTAGGATGGGCCATTTTAAAAGGCAATGTAGTGAATGTGCACAGTTGGTGCTTAGTGGCTGCAGCTGAGGGCATACCCTATCAGAATCCCAAGGACAGACCAACAGATGCCTCCCACTACATTGCCAGTCCTACACATAAGATTAATGAATATTAATTAACGAATTAATGTTCACCACTATTTGCCTAGGTCCAAAATAGTGCCTTGTATGAGTGGGTTAATATATACCAGTTAGATAAATAATTTGACTAATATTATTATTATTATTATTATTATTATTATTATTATTATTTATTATTATGTGTATGGCTGTTTTGCCTGCATGTATGTCTATGTACCCTCTATGTGCCTGATGCCAGCAGAGGTCAGAAAAGGGTGTTGGATCCCGTGAAATTGAAGTTATAGACAATTGTGTGCTGGCATTTGGGTGCTGGAAATCAACCCCCAGTCTTCCGGAAGAGCAATCGGTGCTCTTAACCACTGAGCCACCTCTCCAGCCCCAATAACTACAATGTCTTCAAATGTCTTCAGCATATATGTGTGTTTTCCATTAAGATTGGACTCAGTATACCCACATCCAAATTATTCAAAGTCACTCTAACTCCCAACCTCCCAGATGGTCTTTATTCAGACTAAAATTCTTTGGGGTGTGTGTGTGTGTGTGTGTGTGTGTGTGTGTGTGTGTGTGTGTGTGTTTTGCATGGATGCTTGTTTCTCTGTGGCAGTGAGGGTATGTATGGAGGACAGGAGTCAATTTTCACTGACTCACAGAGTTTAAGACAGGATCTGTCTTTCTGTGACTGTGTACTCCAGGCTAGCTGGGCCATGATCTGATTCTCCTATCTCTGTCTCCCATTTCCATTTAGAGGTGTACTGGGATTACAGAATCAATACTATATATGATTCTTACATGGATACCGAGCAGCTAAACTCATATCATCAAGCTTGTGTGACAAGCATTTATACCCTAACAATGTAAAATAATAATAATAAGAAGAAACCTGCTTGATTCAATATTTTCCAAAGAAAAGGTGGGAAAGGATGGAAGACTGGATGCATATTCTGAAATTTTCATTCTTGGTGGGTTTTAATAAGATCAGGGGATCTAGGCAAATATTCAGCTGAGGAAAACAACTTAAGTTCCTAAGTGACTTACACATTGGCTCCTCAAATGAGCCTGCTATCACATGCCCAGCTTAACTCATGGGTTAAATTAAATGACCTGAAAGAGATCACAGGACCAGTTCATGCTCATGAGTCAGCTGTCTTTCTGTCAGGCATGGTAGTAATGAGTCTGAGCCCTTGGTTCTAACCACTCCACCACACTCTTGGTTTCCAGATGAGAAGGAAGCCTGGACTCAGAACAGAAGTGATGGTGAGGAAAATGTGATACAATTTTTATTTAAACCACTATTTAAAGTAACTTTTAAAATCATTGAGCAGAACCTTACTGGTGGGGGAGGGGGAGGACGACAGAACAAAAACCACAGAACTAAAATAGGATTTACACACAATGTAATACCCATGTTTTACCATGATGAAACAGAGTCCTCGAGTAAACGGCTGCCTGGAAATAGGTAGCAGCAGATGATCTACATATGTGCTTGTTACTAACAGAGAACCTGGGATTGGCTTTTCATTCAGAGCACACTAGTAAAAACTGTACAGAAACTATCAGAATGATGGAAGCTTTCAATAAATATTACATTACTTAGTGCAACCTAAAAATAGTAGGAACATCAGTCACAAAGATTTTAGGCTGCAGTCCCGGCACTTGGGAGGCTGAGGCAGGATTCTGAATGCAAGGCCAGACTGAGCTACATAGTGAGACCTGTTTTAAAAATAAACAAAAACAAATTAGAGAGCTGGGTGTGGTGGTGCATATCTTTAATCCAATCACTCAAGAGGTAGAGGCAGGCAGATCTCTTTGTGTTTGAGGCTAGCCTGGTCTACATAGCAAGTTCCAGGCCAGCCAGGACTATATGTGCTCATCCCCGTCTCCCCATCGCTGGGATTCACAGGTGTGCGACTGGCTACTTGACCTAGGTGCTGGGGTCGTTCTGGGTTCTTGTACTTATTTATTGCACTTTCCCAGCAGACCCATCTCTGAAGCCCAGTAACTATTTTCTAGGCAACAACAACAAAATAGAGAGAAGCATTATTGTAATTTCTGAAAATCTCTGCTAGGCTCATCTTACAGCTTCTGTTTTCAATCTGAAAGGTTTTTGGAGAAACTTTCATTCACATAGACATAGTGGGGGGGGGGCTCTTTTAATAGCTTTTTCAGACAATAGTTTATATTCTTCTCTGACACTACAAAACAAAATCAGTCATAGCCACTTCAGGATTAGCTTCAGTAGGATCTGAAAACACAGGAACTTCTAGGGCTTGTACATTATACTTGCACTTTGAACAGCTCAATTATTAAAGCAAGATTCTGTAACATTGCACATGGAAAACAACAGCTTAAACAGCCTCGAGAATCTGTCAAATGCTGGTGCATTCTATTAATCCTCTTATGTAACAATGGCACTTGGGAGACTAGGCCAAACCTAATCACAAATGCACGTGAAGCACTGTCAGCACACCGGAAGCAAGGTCTATACACCTGAAAAGTCAAATATTAGAATTACAAACAAATACTGTTACTTGCTTTCCTTGAAATGACAAGACCACCTTGTTCACTGACATAAATACATACATACATATGTAAATAAATAAGTCTGAGGAATCACAACTGTTGTTTGTCCTATCAAGTTACAAGAGTTGCCATGAAAAAGATGCTCCTTGATGGCCTTGCCCCTTGCTTGTCACTACAAAGAGTGAACTTGCCAGGTGGATGCAGGAGAGCTCACCTTGGTGGTGGGGACAAGGGAGAGCTGGCAGGCTGACCAACCCTGCAACTACCCAGGCCCAGAACCAAGGTTATGAGTTGGCCTACTCCAAGATCAATCCCATCTGCGATCTGCTGGAACACTTGAAGGGATGGGTCCTGCAGACCCAAAGCTGCAGGATCTCCACCACACAGGGCAACAGCAGGATAATCAAGAGGAGTCCCCCAGTAAGGGCCCAGGATTGCTAGTGTAACAGAAACCAGAGGCTTCAAACCAGACCAAAGACTTTCCAATGACTTTCTGCAATGAACACTTGCAAGTAAAGATGTATGGATAAAGGGCCTACAGTGTAACTCACTGTGTCACACTACAGCTGCCATGACAAGACTGATTTTTTTCCTTCTTTCTCTTAAACTTTATTTTTATTTTACTGGGGGGTGCAAGGGCTGAGGGTGGATACGAAAGAACGGGGAAGTGAGTGGGATGGAGATGCCAGATGTGAAAGAAAGAATAAAGAGGAGGGGAAAAGATGGCTAGTTGAACTTGTGACTCAATGCCCAACAACTTTTACTTAAGCAATCACCATGTTGCTCATATGAGCATCATTTAGAACAGTGGTTCTCAACCTTCCTAATGCTTTCACCCTTTAGTACAGTCCCTCCTGCTCTGGTGACCCCAGCACTAAAACTACTTTCATTGCTACTTCATAACTGTAATGTTGCTAGTGTCATGAATTGTAATGTAAATATCTGATAGGCAGGCTATCTGATGTGACCCCCCAAAGGGTTGAGAAACACTGATCTAGGGTATTAAAAAGATATATACTCATGGATCAACATAATAAGTTAACAACTGTCACTGCTTCACCTAGAGCATTGATAAACAGAACATCCTGTTTTGTTCCCTTCACGAAATGCAATGATAAAATTTTAGGGTGTGAGCAATTCCACACACTATTGTTTTTATACCATTCACTAATTCATAGCTTTTAAACAGTATAAGATCAAGCATTTGTTATAAAAAGATCTTACATTCACTGAACACCTGAGGTCTTAGATTGTGTTTCACTGAATCCCTGAGGTCTTGGGGAGCCTGTGTCTGAAAACTGCTGCTTTGAAAACTAGGAGGATGGCTGTCCCTCCTTACTTTGATTACAAGCTGTCTCCCCTAATCACTGTTAACACAGATCACACATCTCCATGTCTAGAACAGGGTAAATCAGAGAGTCAATCTTTGTGAAAGGGATGCCATTGACAATTAGTGAACACTGCAGACCAAAGCAAAAAGTGAAGGCTTGAGCTAGAGCAGTGACAGCTCAGTCACCAGGAGCTGAGTTCAGAGCCCCAGCATCTATGTAAATATTGAGCTGTAGCAATATGCACTCTTGTTATCTCAGAAGGAGGTGGAGACAGGAGAGTCCCTGGTGAGTAACCTTGGCATTCACCTGCCAGGCAGCCAGGCCAAATCTGCAAGCTCCAAAAAAATAAAAAAGAAAGAAAAGTGTGCATGCGCGCGCACACACACACACACACACAAACACACACACACACACTGCTTGCCTGAATCATTTCCAACACAGACATACATTGTGGTCACAATGTTTTATTGGGGCTGGAGAGTTGGCTCAGCAGTTACCTTGCAGAAGAACTGGGTTTGGTTCCTACAGCCCATTTCAGGCAGCTCACAACCACCTGATACTCCAGTTTGGGAGAATCTGATGCCCTCTTCTGGCCTCCATGGACACTCACATGCAATTGCACATAGCCACATACAAATACACAATTAAAAATAAAATAAAATTTTAAATAATAGTTTTCTAGACAAAAAAAAATAAGGATCTATGTGATTCATTTTATCTGTAAGAAGGGACATAGGATATTGGGGGAGGGGATATTGCTTCTATTCTGAGGCCTGGCTTATGAAAAAGAAATTTTCTAAGAGTAAGAATAAAGACAACAGCTGGGCAGTGGTGGTGTACCCCTCTATTCCCAGCAGTTGGGAGAAGAGGTAGGAGGATCTCTGTGAGTTCGAGGCCAGCCTGGTCTACAGATCGAGTTCCAGGACAACCGGGACTGTTACACAGAGAAACTCTGTCTTGAAAAATCAAAAATAAATAAATAAGCAGGTAAACAAACAAACAATTAAATGTGGCATTTTAGGAAGCTTCACCTACACAGAAGAAATCTGGTATCTCAAAGGCAACAGGATGTGATGATCAAAAGTGCAGGGTCCAGCCCTGGCAGTTACTATGGGTGTGCCTTGGTGGACAGAGTGCTGTTAAGCTGGCCAGCACCCACGTGTGTAGTGGTGACCTGGTTTCCTGTGGTAGATGAACGTTTCTGTGCCTCACAGAACTAGAGAGAAAACAAATCAGTCTATTCAACCCTGTAAGGCAAGATTACTTCTTGGAGATCAAGAATTTTCACCTACAAAATAGGATGAACTAGATGCTTTCTCCAGGTGGGTATATATATGCTGAAATATATGAAGCCATTTCTGTGTGAACTGAGGTTCCCAGAACAAGGTCACACCTCTATTAAAGGGTCTACAAGGATAATTGAAAGCTTAGAACCATCTGGTAAAGAGTTAGAATGTTGCAGATTCAGAGTCTCTTTTTTTTCTTCTTCTTCTTCTGGTTTTTTCTAGACAGGGTTTTTTTGTGAACAGTCCTGGCTGTCCTGGAACTTGCTCTGTAGACTAGGCTGGCCAAGATACACCTGCCTCTGCCTTCCAGGTGCTGGAATTAAAGGCATGTGCCGCCACTACCCAGCCTCTTGGGCTATTTTTAATATCCTCAATAGCTATTCAGTGCTCATCTCTGTGTCTGAGCTAAAAGCCTTGCCACCACTAAGTGAGAGACACTGAAAATGTATTAACAGACCACTAGCTTCCACCAATCCCAAAGCTAGGAATGCCATCATCTGAACCTATAGCAGAAATCCCAATTTGCTGCAACCCACTTTCCAGAAGCTGCCATCAATGTGTTTAGAAAACAAATTTATGATTTTCTTTTGCTACATAACTATTAAAACTTCATGACATATTACTTGGCACAATTCAAATCCATGCTCCTGGCCACATATATTTGCCTCAAAAGTAAATTATTTCTTATTCCCTTGGAGATGAGAGACATGTTTTATGTTGACATAAACAGCCTGAGCAGATCGCTCTTTTTTTGTTTTGTTTTGTTTTTTGTTTTTCGAGACAGGGTTTCCCTGTGGCTTTGGAGGCTGTCCTGGAAGTAGCTCTTGTAGCCCAGTGTGTTCTTGACCTCAGAGACCCCCCTGCCTCTGCCTCCCAAGTGCTAGGATTAAAGGTGTGTGCCACCACCACCAGGCAAGGGCAGATCTCTTTAAACAACCACCATATTTAAAACATGAAGGAATTCATGGCTTATTCTTTAAATTCAAATAACAGAGACACTACAAAATAACTCACCGATTCTGAAAGGATTTCCCAGCGATATTGTCTCTGTAGGAATCAAACAAAACATGGTATTGATCCCGGCTCCATTCCAGAACCACCTAGAAAAAAAAGAAAAATACCAATACTTTGTGTGCATCAAAAACTAACAATTCAATACAAAAGTTCATTTCAGTTCATAAACAACCGCTAAAGAAGCAGACTTAGTAGACTTCCTTGGGGAGTTCTTCCCCTGTCTGAGGGGTGGGAGTTGGGGGGGAGCAGGGGAAGAGGAGGAAGCAGGAACTAGGACTATAATGTAAAAAATAAATTAATAAAATAAATAAAAGAAGCAGGTTGTTGAGCTGTCCAGAGCGCCTGCCCACTCCATGCTGCCCCACATCAGATACCCTGCTCAGACCAGTAAATGAGCTACAATTGTGGCTTAAACATCTGAGAGGACTTAGGATCTCACTGGCCTTGGGATGAGGTCTGGGAATACAAAACATTTAAAGGGAGGTGATGTTTGAATGGGGTCTTGAGGGAAGATGGGAAAGGGACAAAGTCAGCTAATTGGAAGAGTGCATTTGGGGCACGTTGTTTGAGGGCATCTGTGCAGTTGACTTTTTCAGAGAGCATGGGTAGATACCAGGAGAGAATAGAAGCCAGGCTAGGAAGCAGGGCCCTAACTATGACTTGCCTGCCATGGATGGGTTAACAGAAGCGCAGGAGAACTGCACGGCAGCCTATGCCCCACGGCAAGTCTGAGGAGGGTTCTTCTCAGAGCCTGTACCCGGGGCTTCCACTTCCTTTGCTCTCTGACTGTGCTTCAGAAAGACTCCACTCATTAACACTGCAAACCTTGCTTCCTCAGAGAAGCCTTTCTTGGTGTTTTGTTTTGTTTTGTTTTGTTTTTCCTAGGAGGGGTTGGCATTCTGTCCTCAGTGGTGCAGTTGGCATTGCAGTCAACTTTCATTCTGAAAATTGGTTGTAAAGAGATGTTGCCTGAAGGGCACAGAGTTCTGCAAGGAGGAGTAAATTCTGAGACTTATGGTACAGGTTTGTGACTATGATTAACAGTAATATATTTGATACTTAGAAATAAAGTTAGACATGTACAAAACTATCCTCCATCTTTGATATTACACAGAACCAAACCTGTAGCTATAAAATGTCAACTGCATTGTAAAATACAGGTGTGCTAATTTTCAACAGAAGAGACTGTATGAATATCAATTTATTGAGTAAAACATAGCCATCATTCTCCATCTCTATCTCTGTGTAGTCTGGCATGGAACAACACTAGTCATTTTTGAAAAACAAGTCACAAAAAAAAAAAAAAGCTAGGAAAATTGTTGTTGGCTAGGGGGTTGCCCAGAAGCTGCAGCAGGTGGAAGAGAGGGTGCATAACCTCACCAAGGAAGGCCAAGTTCAGCAGATAGGCTTCATGTTCCCTCATGTGCCTGCTCACACCAGAACAACCAGCGTCACAGTGCTCTGACATGTGAGTAAAACAGTTCCTTATCCCTCAGTCCAATCCAAGTGCTCCCTCCCGTCTCTGCTCCAAGTAATTTGCATCCTGACTGATGACTTGGAAATTAGCACCCACTGTCTGTAGTACTCCATGCCTGACTGTCAGCCTTGTTGTTTTTATCTTTAAAATCATTTCTTTTGCCTGCATGGTATGTGAACACCACACATGTAGTGCCTGTGATGGCCAGAAAAGGGCATCAGATTCCTTGGGGCTGGAGTTACAGACAGTTGTGAGCTGCCACATGCAGCTGGGAATCGAACCTTGGTCCTCTGGAAGAGTAGCCAGTACTCTTAAATGTTGAGCTACACCTACAGCCCCAGCTTTGTTGTCCTTGTTTGCCTTTTCTCCTGTGCTAGCCAGGCATGTTAGATATCTCATTAAACAGAGCATAGCTTCCGGAACCTTCATTCTTGTAATGGCAAGATACTTAGAGCATTATATGCACTAATGCAAATCAAAAGTCTATGTGGAGGGACTGGAGACATGACTTAGCAGTTAAAAGCACTGACTGCTCTTCCAGAGCACCCAGGTTCAACTTCCAGCACTCACATGGCAGTTCACAACTGTCTGTACTGTTAACTCCAGTTCCAAGGGATCCAGCAACCTCACACAGGCATGAATGCAAACAAAACACAATTCACATAAAAGAAAATTAAAATCTTAAAAAAAAAAGATTTGGATCTGTTCTAAAAAAATTTATATGGAAATTAATGTCACTTTCTACAGATGAAATGCTAGATTTGTCACGAAGCTTTTCCTCCAGACACCACTGTCTAAACTAGAAGTTCTCAACCTGTGGGTTGCCACCCCTTTGGGGTCACATATCAGATATCCTATATATCAGATATTTACAATTTATTACAGTAGCAAAATCATAGGTATGAAGCAGCAACGAAATAGTTTTATGGTTGGGGGTCACCACAGCATGAGGAACTGTATTCAAGTGTTGCAGCATCAGGAAAGTTGAGAACCACTGCTCTAAACCAGTTTCCTCAGAGTATTTGCTTTTCTCTGCCATCAGGGTGATTTGTTGGTAAATGATGAACTACAATACTATTTATAAAAGTGATCTTTGACACACCATACAATGTTACTAGTTTTTAAAGTATAAATAACATTAGGAGGCTTGTAATATCAGGTTAAAATGTGTGTGTGTGTGTGTGTGTGTGTGTGTGTCTGTGTGTGTGCACATCTGTGTGAATGTGTGTGGAGGTATACCAACATGGGATATCTCCCTCCTAGGTTGCGCTGTCTTAACTCTTTGAGGTAGTCTCTCATTAAGCCTGGAGCTCACCGATTCTGCTAGATGGAGAACCATGCTTCTGCCCTCACTTTTAATGTGGGTGCTAATAACAAGAACTCAGGTTCTCAGGCTTGCAAAGTGGGTACCTCACTGACTGAGCCATCTCCCTACCTCTCATGTTTCCTACTTCTAGGAGTCTATTTTCATAATCAGTTGCTGGTCCATTTTTACAAAAAACGGCAGTCTGCACCTTATTGAATCCCTGTAACAGGATGGCAACTGTGAGGCAGATGCCACAGACCGCCCCCTTCTTGGCCATAGGGCTGAGCTTGTGTCACCTGGCTCTGGCTTTGCCCAGGCTGCTCCCTCACTTACCAGCAGTTGGCTTGTAAAATACACACTTATAAATGCAGCCATTCACCAGTTCTGAAACTGGTGTTTACCTAACACAGCAGTGACCCAGAACTATTTCCCTGAGATAGCCATAAATAGCCACAATTAAATAAAAAGTGTGTGTTTATCCTGTCCTTACAGTGGCTAAAATTCTCAGATGAAGTAGGGAACTGACTTCTGCAAATTGTCCTCCGATCTCCACATGAATGCATGTATACACACAACACACACAACAAAAATCTAATTTAAAATTTAATAAGAAAATGAGGCTACAGTTCTTCATCAAAGGAACTCAAGACAGGAACTCAAGCAGGGCAGGAACCTGGAGATAGGAGCTGATGCAGGGGCCATGGAGGAGTGTTGCTTATGAGCTTGCTCCTCATGGCTTTTTCAACCTGCTTTCTATCTCTCTTTTTGTTTTTAAATCATATGGCTTTCCATCTGATCACAGGATACAGAGACAGTCTGTAGGTTGTCTCTAAGATCCTTTCTTCCTGTTTAATGTGCTGCATGTATGAATCACCCACAAGCTGACAAATCACCTGCTAAAGATACTGTCATTTGCACCACAAGATTGGAACAAACTGTCCCAAGACTGGAGAAACTTAAAAAGGCATACTGTGAATATACATCCTCTATTACAAGCACTGGGTTGTTATACTCTAGAAGGAACTAGAGATGTCTATATAGCAATTATAAAAGTGCAAGACATATTAATAAAGTACTTGCCCCTCTGCTATCCCATTAACACAGTACAGCACACAGGGCAATCCTTGTGAGCTTTTCTGCTGTCTCTGGGGAACAGCTGACAAGCATCAGCTAAGAAAGCCAGTCTCTCACGTCTGCCTACATGAACATCACAGCTAGAAGAGCTCCCCAAAGGGGACATATGGCACTTAATTAGTGTTTATTGGATGCTTTCCATGGAGTACTTTGCAAGGTGCCTTGTAAACATCTGACATCCCATTTAACCCACCTGTCCTCACAGGCTTGGTCACAATCAGTGTCTTGGTTAGGGGGTTTCTATTATGACCCACCTGTCCTCACAGGCTTGGTCACAATCAGTGTCTTGGTTAGGGGGGTTCTTTTCTCATGGAAACTATGACCAAAGTAAGCAGAGAGGAAAGGGCTTATGTGGCCTTGTTATTCATTGAAGGAAGGCAAGACAGGAACTGAGGCAGGAGCTGATGCAGAGGCCATGGAGGGTGCTGCTTACTGGCTTGCTCCCCATGGCTTGTTCAGTCTGCTTTCTTACAGAACCCAGGACCACCAGTCTGAGGATGGCACCACCCACAATGGGCTGAGCCCTCTGCATCAATCACTAATTAAGAAAATGCCTTATGGCCAGATCTTATGGAGGTGTATTCTAAATTGAGGTTCCCTCCTCTCAGATGATTCTTAGCTTGTGTCAAACTGACCTAAAACCAGCCAGCACAATCAGTGAACAGAACTGAGAAATCCTGAATAAGAGAGTGAGTGGTTGTGGGTAGGGCATTCTGCAGGATTCTTGGATTAGGCTGGTGGGAGAGCATAGAGGAATGGGTAGAATTGAAACGCTTAGCAGGCCCAGTCATCTGCTCATCATGTGTTTGCCAGCCACTCCACTAACTTCATCATCAAAAGTAAGTAAAATAGTCACTTGGTGCTCCCAGTCCCTGAGAGCAGGTGTTCCCTGAGCATCTGATGAAGGAATTCTGTGAGCATCAAAACTTATTTCTGTTCACTGATCACCCCTGTATCAGAGCATTTTCCTTGCCACAGGGACTTTCTTTCTTTATTTTGTGTATGGCAGGGGCATGTATATCCCAGCATGGATGTAGAGGGCAGAGGACAACTTGTAGGAATCTAGGAATCTGTTCTCTCCTCTCACCACACTGGTGAGACTCAAACTCAGGTCACCAGACTTGGTGACAGACACCTTTACTCACTTTTGATTGTCCCCTGATGCCAAGGCCTTTGCTCTGCTTCTTTGGCTGAGAAATGGTAGTTTCTCAATACTGGCACCACTGCCATTGGACCTGGATAATTCTTTGCTGTTGGGGATTTGTCCTATACATTCAAAGCATTCCTTGGCTTCTACACATTAAAGCCCACAGCACTATTTCATTCCATGCCCAGCCACGACAATCTAAATGTCCCCACCAGCTGAAGGTGAATGCTGGAAACAGCCCTGGCCTCCTCCCTCTCTCCCTGAGTACTTCTGGCCCTCCTGTTGAGCTTCCATAGCATCAAGAAGCCACCTTGACATAGGCCACCACTGGTCTCTCCCACCACACCCTCTACATCTCTGCAGCACTGCTCACAATTGTAATGAAGTAGTATTTAATGTCTTGATGTACAAGCTCCTTGTCAGCAGCAGCCATGTATGTCTTCCTGACTGCTGTATCCCCTGGGGCCTGATTAAGTATTTCCTAACAAAATGGATGAGCCAGGCATTCTGTGGGAACAGTTTTAAAGTTACAGAAATGCCACCTCTGACCTCAGGTTGCTGAGTACAGAAGGGGAGGTTAAGTTTTATCCCCTGAGCTAGCCAGTTGCACTGAGAAGCTGCTGTGTACATTTTCTTCTCAAGTGCCAAATACAAGAAAACACATTCCAGTGTCAAGTGAGTAATGGACCCAAACAACAAGTTCCCTACAGAGTGGAGGGAAATTCATCCCCATCGTGGCATGAAGGGGGCAGAGCCCAGAGGAAGCAACTGGCCTTCTGTAACTGCTGTTCCACCTCTTCCAGGGGCTAGGATAGAAACTCTTCCAATCTCCCCTACCCAGGGAAGAGTCAGTGGATCATCAACAGGGCTCACCATTGTTCAAATCATAAATGCCACCCCTGCCTCACATCTAAGAAATATAAAGAACTGTCAGCTATCTATTCTCAGAAGGAAATGGAAGTTGATACTCCGGAATCAGCTCACACTCCCTCGCTGGACCCAAAGATGGGTGTGCCACGTAGCAGAAGTGGGTCACACATAAGACAGACCCTTATATTAGATCCAGACTCCCACCCCCAGTCAGAGGCTAAGATAAAAAGCTCCAGAGGCCATGGAAGGAGTTACCAACCCATTTAAATGAAAGGGTCTCACCAGGGATGACCAAGTGACCACTCCTAGCATGGTGATAGGAGTAGCCTCTGAAGGATGCCCTTTAGGTATGTGACACTTGACAAACCTGAGGTCTTCACACTTACATAGGAAGGACTTCCTGCCCTTGTTTCCTTGTTGTCTTCTGTATGCTCGATCACTGGGTTAGGAAAGAGGGAGCCCATAAACTCATCTCTTTCCTAAATTTCGGTTTTGCTGTTTGTTGCAGACCTAGCCAGGGGAGGCACAAAGCCTCAACTTAGGCTCTGGGATCTGTTACTCCCTGAGACTGGCCACCCTAATTCTGAGGTGATATTAGAGTTTGCAATCTGAAGTGCCCACAGAAACTTGAAACCAGACTGGCCTCGAACACAAGGATCTGCCTATTCTAGATCCACATTGCTGGAATTAAAGGTGTACGCCACCATGCCTAGACCAACAGAGACGTTTTTGTTACCAATACAGATCTTGGGTCCAACTACAGCCTACTATATTCATCAGGACAAGCACAGTTAATGGCCTACCCTTTGTTTCTTCTTTCATAAAGAAACTTCACCCCTACATAATACAAATGCTGAGTGTTCTTCCAGGCATGGTTGTATGATGCAACTGGTAACAATGCAGGAAAGAATTTAGGTCTCAGACAAATTCTTCCTACATTTCTAGGAGAGTTCTGGGGCACTGGTGGAACCCCAGGCTACTACATTCTTTTTTTCTGGCTGCATCTGGGCTTGGGGTGGGAAGAACCTTATGATAAATGTGTATGTCTGCCACAGGAGGGGAGTTCGAGGTTGGTACTAGGTACTTGTCAATTCTAGCATTTAAGACTAAGGAGCAGTGAGCAGTGAAAGAAAGGGTGGGCATGGAGCTACTGCAGACAGAGCAATCTACAGACATCTATTGTCTGGTCAGGAAATTTTGCTTTTACAACATACTAAAATTCATTAATAAAAATAGACCTGGCCAGGCGTTGGTGGTACATGCCTTTAATCCCAGCACTCGGGAGGCAGAGGCAGGCGGATCTCTGTGAGTTCGAGGCCAGCCTGGTCTCCAGAGCCAGTGCCAGGATAGGCTCCAAAGCTACACAGAGAAACCCTGTCTCAAAAAAACCAAAAAAAAAAAAAAAAAAAAAAAAAAAAAAAAAAAAAAAAAAATAGACATGAGGGGGGATGGTAAATGCCTTTAATCCCAACACTTAGGAGGCAGAGGCAGGCAGTTCTCTGAAAGTTCAAGGCCAGCCTGATCTACAAAGTGAGTGCCAGGAGAGGCTCCAAAGCTACACAGAGAAACCCTGTCTCAAACAAACAAACAAACAAACAAACACAACAACAAAAGAATAGACCAAATGCAAATGTGAAGTTGCTGTGTATGTTATATTCTGAATCACTGCTGGAAGATTTATGGGATACCCTTGGGCTGTATTTAGCAAAGCCCAAGGTTAATAAACCCAAACAAGAATACAAATTTCACAGATACTTTCCACAGAAACAGACCACGACTACATCTACACAATAAAGGGCAAACAGTTATCTCAGGATAATGTGAAGGCTAAGGAAAGGAAATGGGTTTGAACTGAAGCTGGTATCTTGGACATCTGTTGCTC